AACTGTGGCAGATCTTTACAGCAGTCCCCTTATCCATCAGAGGGATCCCAGGATCCCCAGTGGATACCTGTAGCCACAGATAACACTGAACCCTATAGATACCATGTGTTTGCCTTAGGTCAAGGATTTCCAACTCCTCACTTAAATGAAGGATGGACTGTAGAGCTTCTCTTTGGTGTGTTTGACTTGTCAGCATCATTACTGTTGTACTTTGAGGACATTATGAAGTAAACTAAGGGTTACTTGAACCTTAGTTTTACAACCCAAGGATTGATTGCCATGCTGTCATGTTAAGTATGGCCACTAAGTGATTAATTGGCAGGTAGACCATACAGTGTGTATCCCCTGGACAAAGGGATGATTCACATTCCAGGCAGGATCTGGGATACCATTTTGTAGAAGCTTAAGAACAAGCCATTCAGCCTGGCTCTCTTGGAGAAAATGAAAATTCCATTCCTTAAAAGGTTCTCAACTAACAACCTCCTCTTCCTATTCCCCCTACTCCTGTTCCTCCATCTCCTCCTCCAGGGTTGGGGGAAAGGAAACCAGGGCCTCACATACATAGGCTAAGCTTGTGTCTACCACTGAGCTGTGCCCCTACTCTGGCCCCTGATTTGTATCAGTACATCTTATCATAATTATACTCTTCTTTCCTCACTGAATATCTGGAACACTTTGGTAGTTTTGTGTTAATATTATTCCACAGGGCTTGAAAGAGAAAGTTCTGTTCTGGCAGGGAGGACACAGGGACCTTGGACTTCTTTCTTCCACAAAGTCTCCATGGAATCCCAATCAAATCCCAAAGACTCCTTCACCATTCCTCTCCCCTGGAAGACACAAGAAGCACAGTCAACAATCCACTTAGCACTTTCAAGCTTCTGCAGTTTGTAATGTTCTCCTGGGATTAATTAACAGGTGAATGTGTTTTTACCTTGAAACCCTGATGGAAATCTGATGGAAGGGAACAGGCATGAACATAGGGAGTGGCCATTGTTGAAGAACATGGCCAGTCATTGAGTTTAAATGTTGAGACCTAGTGGGAAACCACATGTGCTGCTGCATGACTAGTCCTACTTGTTCTTTTTCATGCATGGGGTTTCTTTATCTTACCACAAATAGTAAAGGGATTTCATCACATCCTGGGGACTCAGATGCTATCTGGCTCCACTCCTCCCCTGGGCCAGCAGAAGTCTGAGGTAGAGATGCTGGAAGCCCAGCCTGAGGGTTTCCTTAGATCTGTAAAATCTGGAGCTGAGGGAATTGGAAAACTATGTCCAAGTTTGACTGGGGGATGAGCAACAGTGAATCATACAGACTCTCTTTTGGACCAAGCAGGCAGGCTCTGCTGAACCTCCTTCTCAACTAGGTATCAACTATGGCTTATAAAAACTCCACACATGATTTTCTTTATTGCTCTCTTCACATTAAAAGACTCAAACAAATACTCATATGGTTTCCAATAGTTCAAGGCCATATCTGCAGATGAACCTAGCCCTTCCTTGCCTCAGAAAACTCAAGACTGCTCAAATAATTCACCATTTGTTATAGCTAACATTTCATGAAAGGGCCTGCCCTCAGTTTCCCAAAGCATTTACTATAAAGGATTTACCATTTGAGTCTTCCCTCTGTCCCTTGACCTATACAAATGTGCATCTCCTACAACCCAGGAGTGTATTTCTCAAGGACCTAAAAATCATTCCTTTGGAATGCAATCATCAGGAAGAACAGGGCCTCTGCCTTAGTCTCTGTGGGAGGACAGAACCTGAACTTGGACCATTAACTTTGTAATTTTAAATTTTTGTTCTTCAGCAATTTTCCCATCCTCCCTCTTACTAGTTCAATTCTCCATTTAAAATATTCAGTCCTTTCTGCACAAAGTTGAATTTGGTTCTTGTTGTTCCCTCTTCACTACTGCCATTATATAATATTGATTAAAACATTGACTGGTTTCATTTATCTTTGACATAGATATGCCCAAGTCTTGGTTGAAGAGCTATGAATGACATCGGAGAAGCTGGGACTTCACTGGGTTCTGTGTTTTCACCACTGGCTGAGGTTTCTGCATCCTGCCTGCCTTGACTCCATTTTATCTTTCCTCTTTGTCACCATTATCCATGACAGCAGCCTTTCATGATATACTTTTCATAATGCAGCCTGGGAATCTTTCTAAAACACTGCTGTTATCATTTTTCTCCCCTTTTAGAATCATTTGGTGTTTACCCAGAGACCATAAGAGAGAGGACAAAAAGAAACCCACTTTCTGTGTTGATTACTTTTGTCTGTCAACTTGGTCATCATACCCTGAAAGTCAATCAAACACCAGTCTGGCTATTGCTGTAAATGATTCTTTAGATGTATTGAACATTTATGTGAGCAGATTGCCTTCCATGGTGTGCATGGACCTCATCTTATCAGCTGAAGTCTATAAGAGGAAAAGACTGGGGTCAACAACCACACAATGGAATTGCTCAGCCCTAAAAATAAAATAACCTATCAAGCCACAATAAAGGCATCACAGAAATTTGCACACACATTTCTAAGTGAAAAATGCCAATTTGAAAATGTACATAGTCTAATGTCTCTGGGAAAAGTAAAACCACGGACATGGTAGAAATATCAGTGTTTTCCAGGGGTTTGGTGCTTGCTGGGTCCTCTTTATTCTCAGAATTTTTATCTGGATGCCACATTAGTGCCAGTTTCTGATATGTCTTTTGGATCTCGTTGAGTGAGTCATGTCTCTGCACACCTGTAACTTCTGAGCAACACATTGTTTTAACTAATTGTTGGCACATGTTTGAGGTCTCTGATGCAGGCAGCAGGAAGACAAGAGGGAGAAGTGGACCTCCTAGCTCTCCTCATGGCTCCTCCCACTTTCCTCTCATTAAATCTACAATGGACAGAGAGAAGAGGGATTTGACCTGGGATAGGAAGAGAGTCAGTAGAGACATGTTTCTGTAGCCTCTTGGTTTGTTAAGTCGATAAGCAGAATAAAATTTTGTCTCAATGGCTGATGTTAAAATATTTCAAAAAATATGCTGCAGTTATTTTTTTTTCTTTGTTGTGTTAGCTCGAAACTATTAGTTAAAGTCTTTTCTTTCCTTCATCCTGCTGGTAACTGAATTTAGAATGTCTCAGATTCCTTCTCTTTTCAATATTATGGTATGCATATTCATCTTTTAACAAGCATTATTTATCTGTTCATCTTCATGTTTATTCATTTACTTATTTTTGTATATAGAGATTAAAGCCAGGGACACCTAACCACTGAACCTCATCCCCAGATACTTTTATTTTTGATTGAGACAGGGTCTTGCTAATATGCTGAGGCTGGGTTTGAACTCTAGATCCTCCTACCTCTGCCTCCCTAGCCGATGGGATTACAAGCATGTGCCAAAGAATAAAGGTGTTATTAAAAAATGGTATGGCACATAGGGCACAAAGTTTATGGAAGCCCTCATTCTTGGGATAATATAAATGGAGGATTGGCACCTAAGAAAATGGCCTGTTAAATATTTTGCCTCACCATAATTCAGGCACTCAGGAAAGAAAACTAATTTTCATTAATTAGAAAACAGACATATATCTGCTGATGGACAAACTTCTAGGAAATTCTCCCTGCTTCAGAGGGAGAGACATTTGGTCTGTTCTCTTTCTTGGGCAACATGTCAACATGAAGTATTTCCAATTGCTTGAAGCTGGTACAAAGAAGGGTGGGAAAGAGCGTGGACCTTGGATGACATGAACTACTAAACCAACATGTTCCAGGTGGTCCCTGCCTCTGAACTTGCTGATGGACACACTTGAGGTCCTGAGCCATTTTGATTCAGTCTCTGTTTCTGTCACATTGCCAATGAGGAGTAGGACTGCTTATATACCAGTTCCACAGCCTAAGCACCAGAAGTTGGAAAAGGGATCAGCTGCTCAGATTTAGGACACTGTGTTCTCTATGAGAGAGCTGCACTGGTAATAATGAGTGGTGGAGAAACTGGAAAACAAAGTTTTTATTTTTATTTTTGTGGTGCTGAGGATTAAGCCAGGGTCTTGTGCATATGAGGCAAGCACATTACACCTAAGTTATATACACAGCTCTTGGGAAAATAATTAAAAATTGTTTTTAAATAATTATGAGCTCATAGTAATTATTCAAAAATTTGTTTAATAGTAGCAACTTCATACATGCATATAAAGTACTTTAACTGAATCCACCCTACCTATAACACACTCTTGCCCCCCCTTGTACTTTCCCTCACCCCTTATCTTCCCTATTAGTCCATCTTCTACTTTCATGTCATTTTATATTATTCTCTAGATTCCACATATGAAAGAAAACATGAGATACTTGTTTTTCTGAAACTTGTTTTGCTTAATATGATGTTTTACAGTTGCATCCGTTTTCCTGTGAATTACATTTCCTTCCTTTTTATGGCTAAATAAAACTCTACTGTATATATATATATATATATATATATATATATATATATATATTTACCACATTTTTTTGGATGTATTTATCTGCTAATGGGCACCTAGGCTGAATCCATAACTTGGCTTTTGTGAACTGTGCTGGGACAAACATGGGTATGCAGCTGTCTCTGTACTATGCTGACTTTGATTCCTTCACATGGACACAGAGAAGAGTGGTATAACTGGATCATGTGGTAGGTAGCACTACCTTTAGTTCCTGAGGAAACTCCTTACCATTTTCCATTGTGATGGGGCTAATTTACGTTCCCAACAACTGCATATAAGGGAAAGGGACACATTCCATCTAGCTCAATCCCTCCTTTGTGTCAGGCAGAAAGCTCAGAATACAGACCTACATGGCTTTCCTCCCCTAAAATCTCAGCCTGTCATTCTATCTTTGCTTCCTGGAAGTAAGGAGGCCCAGAGTTGTAGATTTTATGTCCTTCCCCAGTCCCCATTGTGTTTTTCCCAGGGGACTTTGCAGCTTACATTTGGTTGTCAGTTTCAGAGTGCTTTCACTTTCAGAATCCTCTAGAAAACATGCTGTGTGCAACTCCACCTCAGTGTCTCCCTTGGTGTTCCAGTGCAAACCAGTGTGTGATAGAGACCAGGCTAGGGGAGCAAGAGCAAGAGGATTAGTGACCTGACCCAGGTCACACTGGATTTCTTCCCTGGGGCAGTGAATGCTGATTGGAAGACAGGAAGTTCCACAGCCAATCAGGCCTGATAAAGGTCTCTGGGAGTGCAGAGGCCCCAGAGTGGACCTGAGAGAGGCACAGCTGTAGATCCTCCTCCTGTGATTCAGAAGTCAGCACCGGCTAGCAGCACTGAGACCTGAGGGAGAGACTGTGTGGAAGGTGGCAGGTGAGGACTTCTCTGTGCAGGGTCTGAAGTGACAGTGGACCAAGGCAAGTTTTAGAAACCCCAGGCCACCACTGGGAAAAGGGATGTCAGAGGCTGAGATGAGAAAAAACAATCTAAAAAGTCAATGTAATTGCTGTGTTTAGAGAAACTGGTACTTGGGAGATCATGGAGGTCAATGGTGCAGCAGGACCTTGCTTAGGGCAAGTCCCAGAGAAGGGCAGCAGGGTTCCAAGAAGTCAAAGATGCTGCATAGCCTCCTGGCTTTTCTGCTTGCCTCTTGCCTGCCCCTCTCTGGCCCTGGCCCTCACCCTGGTGGGTGTTCATGCTCCAACACCACTCCCACCTACTTGCCTTATTTTCTCATCTCTCCTCTCTCCTCAGGGAGTCACAGGGTAACTTCTGCCTTACCTTTCACTGTGCTTTTAAAATCTCAAGAATCCAGTTCAAAACCAGTGCACCCTTTATTTATCTGAGACTTCCCCCTAAATGATGGAGCTCTTGCTGTTTCCTGAGCATACTTGCAGGTGCTTAGAATCAGGATGCCAGGCACCTTTCCTACAGACAGAGGCCAGTCTTGTGGGTCCAACAATGGATGAGACAAGGAACTACAATTAGCAATGATGAGTCAGAGTGGGGAGGAGGCAGCTCTAGACTAAGACATCAGAGGCCTCCTGGTGCTGAGCCTAGAAGAGAGCAATGAGTGATTGGAGCCTGGTGACAGGGATGGAGTAGGGAGCCTTTTAAGTTTGATATCAGTGTTTGCCAAAGCTCAGAGGTGATTGGGGGGATCAGGGGGTGGGTAGAAGTGGAGACTGTGACAGAGGAGGACTGCAGCAAGGGATGGGGCCAGGCAGGTGGGATGCCATTTACAAAACACATTTTGAGCTTATCCCTAGGGCCCCTGGAGATTTAAGGAAGACCTCATAGGATCCAGATAGCACTTCCCTTTCAGTATTCTGTGTGTCTATCTATCTGGGGTCCTAATGGGCAGAGCCCATTTTCTGAGGCTCTCCAGCCCACTTGATTTGCATTTTAGTGAGCAGGGGCTGATTGTACTGGGGATCTCAGGGTCAGGGAGGTCAGAGGCTCTGGAGAGGAGCCAGGTGGTTTGGACTAGGCACAGGATCACAGGGGCTGTAGAAGTTGAGTGGGGAAGAATGCTTTGTGAGGGGGCTGAAGGCTTGCTTGGACATAGGTTTGGGGGATCTTTGAGAAATGGGAAGTTTTCAGGGAGTTTTCCCAAGGTCTAGGGCCAGCCACTGGTGAGAGTGGGTCTCACTGCATAGAGCTGCCCATTGGTGTTTATACTCCACTGTCTGTGGCTTCAAGTAGCACCTCCTTGCTCTTTCTTTGACTATTCACTCTTCTTGCTTTGACCTGTCAACTTCTGTTCTCCTCTGCATGCTTTTCTGGTCTTCCTTTCCTTGACAGTTTGATGTTCTACAGACACCAGCCCCTTCCTCACCTGTCTAATCTACTCCCATGGCTTTTGCTGGTACTCAGAAATTTTCTGAATTCACAAAAAAAATTAAAGCCAAGAAGAGAGAACACACAGTGTCCTCAGCTCCATTTCATTGTGTTTCTCTATCTTCTTTGCCCTCAGACCCTGCATCATGGATTCTCTTCCAAAAGCAAATGGCACCTTTGCCATCCAGGTTTTGAAGATGCTGTGTCAAGACCAACCTTCACAAAATGTGTTTTTTTCTCCCCTGAGCATCTCCTCTGCCTTGGCCATGGTCCTCCTGGGGGCAAAGGGGAACACCAAAGACCAGATGGCTCAGGTAAGCTTTCCTGTCAACGAGAAGGAGGGACTGGTCTGCAAGGCTTTTCTCCTATCCCCTCCTTGAGTTTTTTTCAGAACTTTTGAAGAAGGAGGGGTGATCCTGGATCATTTCAGGGAGAGGGTACAGGAGGAAGGGAGAGAGGGAGCTGAGGAGTTTCCTCCAATGAGATGTTGTGGAGGTTTGCTTGCAGCGGTCACTGTGTAATCTCTTTTTCATTTATAACTTTTCTTAAGTTCATCGAGAAGTTCCTTAAACTTGTGGCCTTGGAACAGTGTTCACTTATGGGAATCAGTCCTTTGCTCCTCCCCCAGATGAGGGATGTTTGGGCAGTCATGGTAAACTGGTCCTACAGTACAGCAAGTCTCAGGCCTGGGCATGAGCCACAGAGGAAAAACAACTTGCTACTCAAAATGGTGTTTCACAGAGGAAATGGCTCAAAGAACTTCTATCGCTTCTTGTGACAAGAGATTTAACAGATATGAGCTACTCACTCATGTTTATGCCTAAGAAAACATCTGTAGAATGAATAGACTAACAAAAATATGATTGTGTTAATACAGAAATATTCACAAAAGATTGTCGTTACATTATGTCTGTTGCTCCTGCCTGTTACTACTGTTGTTTAGGATCTGCCTCCAAGGTTGAAAAGACTGAAATTACATAAACCTTCATTACCAATTTCCAAAATGATTCAAATTGGTTACTTGTAGAATTGTCATTCTGACAATTTCTTTCATGGTAAAAATTAATTTACTAAAAGGTTTTTATTTTTGGTTTTAAATTATTCGGGAAACTTCAGTTTGTGTAGGATATAAGATGTTTATATATTTTCTGTTGAATTTAATTGTCAAACCAAGTCACATTGACCTCTTAGCTGAATGCCTTATATAGTCCATTAGAGGGCAGTCCAGCTGATACAACAGGTTTGGCAATTTGGTTGTGTATCTTTGCTAGGCGACAGGAGTTTTCTTCATATTTTCTGACTAATATCTAACAAAGAAAGCATGTATGTTGACCAACTGGAAGACTGAGAAAATAAATGTCATTTAAATTTAATTATATTGGGAAATGGAAGTAATTTTACAAATTCTAGAAAAAATAGTTTTATAGCTTTTTTCAATACTAACATTTAAGATTGCGTCCCAAAGTTTTGTTGCTCTGTCACTTATTTATACAATGTCAAAAGCTAGTGCTGAGTAAATCTAAAGAAAAAAATAGACAACATGTTAGTTATTTGATTGTTACATAGGAGAGTTATTTCTTAAGAAATTGTTTTTAATAATTAGTAGATTGGGCTGGGGATGTGGCTCAAGCGGTAGCGCGCTCGCCTGGCATGCGTGCAGCCCGGGTTCGATCCTCAGCACCACATACAAAACAAAGATGTTGTGTCCACCGAAAACTAAAAAATAAATATTAAAAATTTTCTCTCTCTCTCTCTCAAAAAAAGAAAAAGAAAAAAAATAATTAGTAGGTTAATTTCCATGTTGTTGGTATTTTATTTGTAGTGTTGTTGATTTTTAGTTTCCTACATTGAGGTCATTAAATATAAACTGTGATTTCTGTATTTCAAGGTCAAATGAAACTCTTCTTGTGATGTAATATGACACCTTTATTGAAATATAAAGTATCATATATTATACATATATTATCTCTCTCTAGGATACTGTTTTAAAACTAATTTATTCTTATTAATGATATTACTCATTGTATACTTTTACTTCCTTTTAAATGTTATCATGATGATTGCATTCCTGTCCAATTTTTGTTTGATTTTTAGTTTTTTGAACTGCATCTTTTTTTGTAAATAAATAGATGCAAGTTATTTCAGTATTTTGAACTACATCATTTTTTACATAAATAAAGGCAAGTTATTCTCTATTTCTGACAAATTTATGGTGTCTGTGGGATGCAGGACTTAAGAATAGTCCCTTTTCTGAACCTCTCATGCCCCTTTCATTTTGTTCTATTGCTCATCTATAAACTATGCAGAGAGCTCTGTGCAGGTGAAAAAACCTGTATCTTACTCAGCAGTTTCCTGGCCCCTCTCTCCACCTATCCCACCAGTGTCACTTCTCAATTAGAATCAACTTCCTCTCAAAGGATAAATTCATGCAGTATTTGAGAAGAATATTGCTTGCAAATTCTTGTGGAGATCAAGTTCAAAACTGAGAGTGTTTTCTTGCTTTCCTTCACAGGCAATGTCTTTAAACACAGAGGAAGACATCCATAAGGGCTTCCAGATGCTTCTCACCCAAGTGAACAAGCCTGGGTCAAAGTACTTGCTTACAACAGCCAACAGGCTATTTGGAGAGAAGACTTGTGATTTCCTCTCAGTAAGTTGAGTCAGCAGAACAATAAAAGTTGTATTTAAAACACCTGGAAATATACAACCCAGAAGAGAGACCCTAGAGTCCAGGCAGAATGGCAACTTAGGAGGCTGTAGCAAGAGGATGGAGAGTTAGTGGCCAGCTTGGGCAACCTAGTGACACCCTTGTCTTGAAAACAAAATGGAAAACTGCCTTGGGACATAGCTCAGTGGTACAGCATTTGCCTAGCATGCTCAAGGCCCTGAGCTCCATCCCCAGTACTGCAAAAACTTGCAAAAAAATAAAAAAAAAAAAAAAAGAACAATATTCTAGAGAACTTGAGAAACTCACAGTAAACTATTTTTTATAAAGACCCCATATCTACAATCATAATTTGTATTATTTCAATTTTAGCAGTATCTAAAATTTCATTTATTTTCTCTGGTTTTTCCAAACTCAGAAAATATCTCCTTATAAACTAAAATGTTTCTCGATCAATATTAATATTTTATCATGTTTTTAATTTTAAGAATAGCCTAAAGCTATCATTCAGAATGCCTTGAAGCTCACTGTCATTTTATTGAGCAACCTGGCCATTTGAATTATTTGTCTCCAAAGACATTTAAGGAGTCCTGTCTTCAGTTCTACCATGCGGAGCTGGAGCTGCTGTCCTTTGCTGAAGCTACAGAGAAGTCCAGGGAGCATATAAACACCTGGGTCTCAAAAGAGACGGAAGGTCAGAATTATAAGTTATTTCCCTCTCCTCCCACCCCACCTCTGTTCTCCTCTCCTCTCTCCTCTACCTCTCCTCCTCACTGCTAATATCACTGGTGTTGCAGAACCATCAGAGCAAGGTTGCCTGGCTGAGCCTCTTGGTGCCTGTGAACCTTAGTGGCTCACAGAAGATGTGATCAATGCTCAGGTTTTCAAAACCAGACAATTAATGCTGTCTGTTTTCCCAGGGCCAGAGTGGCTGATGCAAGTGTTAACAGAAACTTGTGAGTCAGATTTCCCATATAATACTTTACATGTCACTGGCCTGTATTGTACACACAGCAGGTGATTCTCATCTATGGGAACAGATCAATGGCCAGATCTTCCCAAGTCATGCCCTTGGCCCTCCTCTTCCTGGGGTCAGTTTGGACTTCGCGTCTCCCACTTTTACATGTTAAGATGACTTCTACTTCTTCTTTCTTATCTCTCACTTAAGCACCCTTCATCAGATTTGAGAAGCCTAGACTTGATTAGTCAACTACAGAGCCTCTCTCAGGGCTGATCCATTCCACAGATTGAAAACACCCTGCTTGTGAGGTTAAAACATACTCATTTCTGTTTTAGAGTGTGACAAGTTCTAACCTTGATCCTCTAGATCAAAATGGTTTGATGTTTGAATCATCCAGGCACTTATACACCACTAGGGATGTCCCTATTTCTGCTAACAAATGAGATAGTAAAAACTAGAGGTAGTACTGTCCACTATTTCTTCTTGGAAGTTTTTCTTCTTATGCCCTCTAGAGGCAGCAAATTAGCAGGGATGCTCTTAGTTCCTTGGAACCATACCACTTGATATACAGGGAAAGAAGGACATACCTTCACCTACCCAAATTGTTACCTGTTCCAGGGATTCCAGGTGTCAGGAGGAGGTGCAATCATAATATCTCTTCTGTAGTTTCTAGAAACTCCTCCCATGTCCCTGCTCTGGAGCTATTACAATTCTGTGTGCCTCAGTAATGTTGCAGGTAGCTGTACAATGTTAGAACTGGGCCTGACCACAGGGTCTTAGACCTGACGCTCCTCTTACCCACAGCAGGTAATGTCAGCTCCTACCCAGCCCCTCTCTGCTTTGCTGCTTGTCTTCTTCTCCAACCTGGTGTCAAGTTTCTGCTTTGTCCCAACCTACTTTCCTCCAGTGACTTAGAAGTCTTTCACTATCTTCAAATTGGTGGCTCTTCCAGTGTCTGTCATCATGAATACCACTAATAGCTGGATTTTTTTACTTTTATACCTATCATCCAAACTCAGCACATTTGAAACCAGAATGTTTGGATCTCCAAGACATCGTTGTCATGTTTATTCACCACAGATTCAAAAAAAGTAACTGACAATGTTTGTGCTTTTCTTAAAAGGTAAAATTTCAGAGTTGCTACCAATGGGCTCGATTGATGAGCAGGTCAGGCTGATTCTTGTCAATGCCATCTACTTCCAAGGAACGTGGGACAACCCATTTAACAAATCAAGCACGAAAGAAATGCCTTTCAAAGTAAACCAGGTAGGGAGATACTCAAAAATTATGCTAGTCTGATGAAGAAATTGAATAGAAAATTTAACTTCGTAAAGGCATAAATGGTTAATGATAATTTCAAACTTCTTATCTCTCTTAATGAATTTTAATCTCAGTGGAAAAATGATTTGAATAAATAATACTTGGTATCTATTATGGTTTCTAGCCTATTAGCACTTTAACTGCCTCCGATGAAGTATCCTACATGTATTGGTTTAACCTTACTCTGTACACAAATATCTTCATATAGACAACAATTGCTTAGATAAAGAGCAAAAAAGAGGTGATATATGTATGCATGTAAAATATATATATATCAGCCATGAGACAGAGTACAAAGAGGGAATATGAAAACACATGCCTTGAATCAGGATTTTTATTTTGTTTTTACATTTTTGTGCAATGAGGGATCAACCTCAGAGCTTGTGCATGTTAAGCAAGTGGTGTACCATGAAGCTACGCCCCAGATTTTCCATCTATTATTCATTAAATTAAAATAATCTCGCATTTAGTTACTGGAGTTGTGGGTTTGTGGTACAGTACTTGCCTATCATGTGCAAGGCTCTGGGTTTGATCCTCAGCACCACATAAAAATAAATAAAATAAAATAACTAGTTATTGTGTCCAACTACAACTAAGATATATTTCAAAAAATAATCTCACACTTGAATTGTTGTTATTCATAATTTATCATTATGAGTTCAGCATCTGCAGCTTCTTATTATTAAAAATGACTGCAAGGGCCCTGGTTAACTGTGAGCTATAAGTTTAAGTAAAACAGATATTAGAATACTTTGCTTAATTCTGTAAACCCTAAAGATGCTATGTAATGCAATAAGGAAGCTTGTATGCATTAAGCTCCTCCCCTTATTTATAAGGCATGTTTTAGATAATTATTTATTAATTTCTAGCAGTGCTGGACCCCAGCAGAGTTGAGAGTTTTCTTTCTCCTTTCATACTGTTTTAAATGCTGTGCTCATGTGGTCATTCCTCTTAGGAGGAGAAAAGGCCAGTGCAGATGATGAGGAAAAAAGCCTATTTTAACTATGTCTACATCCGTGAGGCCCAGACACAGGTGTTGGAGCTGCCTTATGCTGGCAAGACGCTGAGCATGATCATCCTGCTTCCAGATGAGGACGTGGACCTCAGTGTGGTGAGTGAGGAGGGGCTACAGTCCTTTGAACTCACAATTTCTGTGGGAAGAAGTGGGTACACCCTGTGCCTTTCTTTCACAGTATCTCCAACCCAAAGCCCAAATGGCCCAGCCCTGTCCTCCTTGATTCCTTGTGATATGATCCTTATAGAAAGAGAGCCAACCGTCCTCTCAATGGTGGCAGTGCACTGTGATGACCTAAAGGGTCTCTGTGAGCAGAGCAGCTCCCATGGGCTTTCCCTCTGTCCAGGTCCCTAACTGTGAGGATGAGTTTCCACAAACAGTGCCTCATTCCACCTTAGACAGATGTCCCTGTCCTGGAGAGGCTCACACTGAGAGCCCTTCCTTTGCCCAGTCTCTTTGGCTTGCCAGCAATGGTTTATCATGTGAAAACTAAGCCTCATTCAAAGCAACAAATACCACTAGAAAAGCACCGTTGACTAGGCATAGATGCTTTTCACAAATAAACATGGTTTGCTAGTGGATGAATAAGGAGGGACAGCCACAGTCTTCCTGCAGGGAAATCATATATGGGATAGCATGTGGGGTGGTGGACAAGTCAGATCTCTCACAAGATTCTGGGCTGTTGAAGGCACTGCTATGTGGACAGTCAACAAGGAATGTTCATGGAAATGTCTGTGTGTCTGTCGATACCCACCATAGTCTGAATATGAACCTGTAATTCTGGTCTTTCAGGTGGAAAATAACCTTACTTTTGAGAAATTCATAGCCTGGACCAAGACAGCCTCTTTGCATAATACTGAAGTGGAAGTTTTCCTTCCGAGATTTAAACTGCAGGGGGATTATGACATGGAGTCTGTGCTTCAGCATCTGGGAATGGTCGATGCCTTTCAACCGGGCCAGGCTGACTTGTCTGCCATGTCAACTGAGACAGACCTGTGTCTGTCCAAGGTTGTGCACAAGAGTGTCGTGGAGGTGAATGAAGAAGGCACTGAGGCTGCAGCAGCCACAGCCGTAAACATAGTGCCATTCTGCTCATCATTTTTACCAACATTCTGTGCTGACCACCCCTTCCTTTTCTTCATCAGGCATAACAGAACCAACAGTGTTCTGTTCTGTGGCAGGTTCTCATCTCCCTAAGGGTTGAATTTCCTCTCCATGGAGATTTTCCCTTTTTCCATGTCCCCAAATTTTCACTACAGTTCATAAGGATGTACCTTTAGGTGAACACCAAGTGGAAAAATGAGGGCAGGGTCCTAAGCCTTCTGAACAACTTGCCAGTGTGATCTCATGATGCACCACACTCAGCTGTCCCCATACTGCCCACTAACTTGTACCACAGAACCAGGGTCATGGCCAATAGACTGTCCTGATTACCTGTTGTATTATGCGTGCAGTACAGATTGCATAGGATAGCTTGCAAACTTTCCCCAGATGGCCTCAGATACATTTATATCTCATTTCCCATGCAATTCCTTCTACTTATACTGTGCTTTCCTGGTACTTCAAGGAAGGTGTGTCTCAGTGGTAGAGCACTTGCCTAGCAAGTTAGGGCTACACTCTCATCACCACACATAAATTAAAATAAATAAAATAAATATATTGTGTCCATCTACAACCAAAAAAGCAAAAAAAAAAACTTTAATGAACATTTTGTCTATCTTTGGCATTCACCAATCACCATTGCAGAGTTATGGTCCTTTGACACCTGCTCTTTAATAATGTGTTCCCAATTTATACAGTGTCTATGACAACCAGATTGGACAGTTGAATAGCTTTGAACTACCACGTACCTCCATTGCAGCTAGGACACCTTGCCTGGTGGTATTGCATTTCTCTACCTCCAACCCAAACAGTTACATGCCATTAGCCCTTAAAGTTCCATTAATGTCATCTTCTTCAAGACATTTTCCAATTCTCCATAATCAGATGTACATCTTTGAACTTTCACAGTAACTGCCCATGATACTTGCATTGCTTGCTTATTAATAATTTTTGTTCTTAGTGTTTGGACTAGGCCTTAAAGTCTCCAAGATATGTGATTATATTCTACATGCTATAGTGTGGTAATAAATAATTTGATCCTATATGACCTCTGTAGTAATTTTTTAGTTGTTGAACATCACCAACTTTGTTGTTCCTTTTAGATATTTTTATCCCAATGACATTCACATTTTCACAGTCCAGAGCCATCTAATACATGGCTCAAAGGTGTTGTGCAACCACAAGTTTTACTGTGTGCCCAAAGGTTTTCATTGTCTCCAAGAAAAACCTGTATTCACTAAGTAGTGTGTGCTTATCCCTTCCTCCCTCCAGCTACTAGCAACCATGATTCTGCTTTTTGAGTCCACGGATTTCCCTGTTCTGCGTATTTTATATAGACTGAATCATAAAATATATTACCTTTTGTGTCTTCACTTAGTGTGATGTGTTCTAGGTTGAGTCTTGTTGTGGCATGTATTGGTAGTTTAATCCTTTTTATGACTGAATAATATTCCAGTACCTAAATATGACACAATTGTTTTATTCACTCATCCATTGATGGGAATTTGGATTTTTACCCCCTTGTGGGTTTTTTTTAGTAGTCTGATATGAAACTGCATGTATGTGAATTTGCTTGAATACCTATCTACATTGTTCTGTGTATATACAGATTTAGGAATAGAATTGTTGTTCATAAGATAATTCTATTTAACTTTTGAAGAACCACCAACCACAGTGCCTAAACCATGTCACATTCCTACCAGCAATGTATGAGATTCCAATTTCTCTGCATATCCTCATGTACACTTGTTATTTCTTTTTTCTTTATTTAAAAATCATGAACACACAAAAGGTGATTCTTTCCATGGTGATGGATGCTCTGCCTTATCCCTGGTCCAGAGCCCTGGAGCTGGTCAACCATGGATGGAGACTCTGCACCTGGGAGCCAAAAGGAAATCTCCTTCTCTTCGTCATTCTGGTCAGATGATTTGGCCACAGCAATGAACAGCTGACTAACACAAAGGCTCACAGCTGATTGAAAAAAGCCTAGAATAAGTGGTCCAGCTACATTCCTGCTAAGGGGGTCCCCCCTCTTGTGATCAGACTTGATAGTTTTCCATTGCTTTTAGGATAAAGATTAATCTCTTTTTTGAGAGCTAACCAGATAGTTCCTGATTTAACCTTTTCTCCTATCCCCCTTTGCCATTTCTCAATATCAATCCTTCACTCCAGCCTCATAGAATTTTTTGCAGTTTCTGACTATTCCATACTCTGCCTTTACTCTGGGGCTGTACATTTGTGACCAATGATAGTTAGCTTCCCATTATTGTGACAAAGTATTTGTGATAATCAACATGAAAGGAGGAATCCCTTATCGTGGGTCACAGTTTCAGAGGTTTCAGTTTTGGTTGGCCTCTTTGGTTGCTCTTGGGCCTGTGTCAGGACAGTTCATCATGGTGGCAGTAAGTGATGGAGCAAAGATGCTCACTCACTGTGGCCTGGAAAGCAAAGGAGGAGGTGGCTGGTGTCCTGAATATTCCCTTCCAAGACACACCACCCATGGCTTAACTTCCTCCACTAGGCCCTACCTCCAAAGGTTCCCCCATCTCCCAGGATCCCCACAGGCTGATGAATACATCTTCAACCCATGGACCTTGGGGGGACATCCCAGATCCAAACTACAGTGCCATCTTCTCCTTAGGAAACCCTTCCTTTCCACTAGTCCTCTCCCACCACCTCCCTGCCCCGCCCCCTCACTGGCTAAGCTTCCCTGGTCCTTTCCAGGGTTAAAGACTCCCCCTGTGTGCTTAATTATTTTGCAGCAGAAGTATTTAGTGCAAGGGGATTGGGGGCAGGGGGGCATTGTTGAGAGCAGCTTTTTCCTACTATACACACAGTTCGTCTACAAAGGGCACTAAATCATCCCAACAGGTGGTGGGCATTTCCCAGTGGCCAAATAGGGTATGTTTCTCTGGTTCTCCATGGTAGAGAAGGAAGAGGCTGAGGTTGGCTAATGGTTCTATCTGCCTTCCTCAGGGGCTTCTCTCACCCTTCAGTGTGGTTAAGGCCTTTGCCTTGTCGGACAATGTGGTCTCCAGGATCCAGCACCTAGCGGTCACTGAGGGCCCAGGTCAGCTCCTCTCTGATGCCTAACAAGTGGCCAAGCTCTTGGATATCCACGTGCCTTCATGGGCCTTGAAAGCCCTGGCCAGCCTTTGTGCAATGAGCACCATCCAGGCCACATGGTGCCTCCCAAAGGTGCCACATCCTCAGAGTCCTCAGCGTTGTCCTCAGCTGGGATGGACAAGATTGGGCTAGGAGACTGGTAGCCCACAGGGTCCTGGGTCCAAACTGTCACTGCCACCATCAAGTTATGGGGGGAGTGGGAGGGGAGTCTCACCCATCCTTCAGGGCCTTGGCCAGACTCAGTTTCAGTCTCCCTTCCTTGTCCCTGCCCTTCTCACCCATCATGGCTGACTAGCTACTTAACATCTAGTCCCTGGGCTCTGTCTTTTCCTTTCACTGTTCTAGGCAACTGACTCCTAAACTAGTAAAATCATCCCCACCTTCTTTACTGAGTCCACTTTCTTCTCTTGCTCCCCAAGCTCCATCTATGTTCCTTTCATTAAGGATCTTCCTTCCCTCAGGGGAACCAGCTGGGGAGTCCCGTTTACCTTTATCTACTGGTCTCTGTCTTAACTGCAGCTTCTGGTAAGTGGTAGTTCATGTCCATTTACTTTCTTCAGAGCCTCTCTTCCTGTGCACTCTTCTGAGTCCAACACTGGCTCCCTCTCACCCTTGGCCATGGTCTTCTAAGAACATTCTCTTCCATCCCCCACCCCCCTCATAATATGAGCAGCTGGTTCTCAGATTCTAGGTCTCTCTTTACCCTTTTCTGATAAATCAAAGGCAGATAGAAGAACGTCTGGGCATTTGTGGGAACAGAGCCTACACTAAGTACTTGGGCAGAAGAAATTCTGTTTTGGGGGACTCTCAAGAGAAGGGCCTTTGATTTACAGGGCCACATCCTACTGTATGACCTGTCACAGTCTTTGAGATACTGGGATATCTTGTCTGTCCCTGATGTGATCTGGAAGTACATTCTGGCTTAATGTCTTGTTTTTTTGTTTTTTAATTTGTTTGATTGTTTTCATTTGTTTTCTAACATCACAACATTGTCAATTATGAAATTTTTTACAATACAACAAAAAATACAGAAATGTAATATATGGATGCAACTAAATGCAGCATGATGACATCCTTTCCTCTTTAACAGATCATGATGCCCACTGCTAATAAAACAAAGACAATGCATATAGGCCGAAACAGGTCAGTCATTAGCTTCACAATTTGCCTAGAAATTATCTATAAACGCATTTTCCTGTCGCTACTTACCATAAAATATAAAAAGGGAGTTAAAGGAAATTTTCCTTGTTGGTTCCTATCATATAAAAGATGCTATATTCTATTATAGCAGGGCCACTATATGGAAAGTAAGTAAATTAACTGTTATTACAAAAATGAAGGAGTTATGAGATTCTGGTTAAAGAGGGCACTAAATGAGAAAATACTAATGTAAAGATTCCAAAACCAAAAAAGAAATTGTTATTAAAAAGTTCTAGGTGCATTGTAAGCATATAGTGTTTTATTCCCATGTGTCTTTTCAAACAATGGAAATGTCAGAAATTAGGGTCAACTTGTTAGACTAAATTACATTATTGTATAGGCTGCATTGAATGGTACTGTATTATCAGTATCACAGAGAAGCACAGTTTGCATCATATGATGGCAGTTTATCCTCCATGAAACCTCCGGAGTCCCTTTATTTTGGAATATCCTATGAACAATTAGACCACCAGAGCATGATTATACAACAGTAAAATGTTCTCTTGAATAAAATAGAAAAGATCTTTTGAATAAAAAATTTAAAAAGAAAAAGAAAATGTAGAAAATTACTTAGAGCTCTTACTTTCTAAGTACACAATCTCCTACCCAATTCAAGTCATCTTAATCTCCATCAAGAACAACAATAAAATAAGTTTTATAGTCTGTTAAATCTATCATTATGAATAAAACTGGTACAAATTGGTCAAATGAAGCCAACAAACACATGAGCTTTTGGGCACCATTCCATATCCAAATGACAACAGTCATTCAGTTTCCCGTGAATGTAATTTTTATTCAACTCTCATTTTATAAGTCAATAAGTACATATTATCATAATTTCTGCTCATAAGTAGAATTCAATGTGAATATACACCTCACAAATGAGTTAATTTAAATTTGTTCGTAAGATAAAATTGTGAAAGTCTAAAATTAACCAGTAGCAGTGGCTCACACCTATAATCCCAGTGGCTCCAGAGAATGAGGCAGGAGGATTTTGAGTTCAAAGTCAGCCACAGCAAAGGCAAGACACTAAGCAACTCAGTGAGATCTTGTCTCAAATAAAAAAGTAGGGCTGGGGATGCGGCTCAGTGACCTAGTGCCATTGAATTCACTCCCCAGTACACACCCCCACACAAAATAAATTAATAAGTAAATAAAATGTCTAAAATTCTTAATAATTTTTCCCAGGTTGCTGGCCATTTAGGATTATATTTATCTCTGTTAGGTGTTTAAGATGCAATGTCCATTGCTTTCTGTTTTAAATACAATTTCAACTTTTACGTTTGACCAAGAAATAAGGTGTTGACTATGCTGGTCTGATATCTTGGTTTTCCATGAGTAATTTAAAAATGGGCAATAGGTAAATATAAGAAGGTAAATGCTTATAAATGAAGATAAAACATCTGAATCATTTATATATTACAACGATGACAGCTCAATTGCTAAATGTAAATTCAAGTAGTCTTAGCTTCCTGATAATAATATCTATTAAATGTATTTTTATAAATGATTGGTATATAGAAAAACAACTTACTTTTGCTCTTCCCTGCATATTTACTTAAAAATAAGGCTTTACTGAGTACAGTGGCATCTTTCTGTAAAACAAGTGATTAGGGAAGTTGAGGCAGGAGGATTGCAAGTTCAAAGCCAACCTCACCAATTTAGCAAGGACTTCAGCAACTTCCTGAGACCCTGTCTCTAAATAAAATATAAAAAT